TTACACAACTTATTTTATTGTTTTCACATGCCTGTATACTATGATGACCGACATGTGGAATATATAAGGTTCAAAAAACAGTCCAACACATCATCCAAAACACCTTTACATTTAAAAATATAAGATAAAAATTAAGATGTGGCTAAAAAAAAACCTTTGGAAATTTTAAAGATTATAAAAGTCTATAAAAGAGTGTATAACCAATGACCTTACAGGATAGAAGCAACAAAAAATAACACAATAAATAAACTAAAAATAGGTTGTGAAATAATATTTACACTTTCATCTGATTTTGTTTATATCTTTTAAGCAACCATTCTTTGCTATAAATTTATTTTAAGAGTAAAATTAAGACACACTCAATATATGTATTAAATAAAACAATATTTCATAAGCTGGCTATAGATGGGAGAAAAATTCGTAGAGACATTTTTCGAAAATGTTTCAAAACTAAACTGTTTTGGATATGACGGACATAAGAATATAGAGAACTCAAAGGCTGATTGTCAAAAAGATACGTTATTCTCAATTGAACCTAAACTTGAAATAATGGAAAACATAAAACATATTAGTCCGTGGTACAGACCCATTTTTATCGAATTAATAACATTCACCTGAAATTTCGTAAATAGTTTCATCTTATCATAACCTACAAATATTTTGTTTACGAAAAATCTTGGGATCGGGGCGTTTTCAATCTGTAGGGAGGCAAACTTTGTCTATTTAATTTTTTTATTTTTTTTATTGAGTATTATAACAATCTGTCTGTTGGACATTGGTTATAGTGAGGTAGGATGACATTCACACCATATGTACAAAAAAATAAAATAAATAGAACAAAATAATAATCAACAGTATATACAATAGACAATAAAATAAAATAACCTAAAAAAATAAGAAAATTAAAACTAAGAAAAAAAAAACAAAAAAAACACATGCATACCTATATACAATCAGGCGAGGGAACTCCAGGAGAACCCTGCGCTACTCTCCCAACCGCGTCACTGGTACTAAAGCCAGCGGAGATTGGTCGAGAGCACAATTAGGTACTAAAAACTCGTAAATACCCATTTACATTCTACTTGGATCGTAAGATAATAAATTATTACTAATCGTAAAAAAATAAATTAATCACAAAGTTGATAAAAAAAGTGACCTACAAAAATATTGGGCCGTATGTCCTATATAACCTCGTCATTTTGAAAATTTGGGGATGTAGGTCATGCCAAACGGCTCAATATTTTTTAAGGCCACCTTTCTTCTCGACTTTGTGATCAAATTATCTGACGATCCAAATAGAAAGCAAATGTGTATTTACGAGTTTTTAGTACCTAATTAAATAGACAAAGTTTGCTTCCCTCCAGATTGAAAACGCCCCAATCCTAAGAGTTTTCGTAAATAAAATAGGTTACGATGAGATGAAACTATTTACGAAGTTTCAGGAGGATGTTAATAATTCAATAAAAAGGGGTCTGTACCATGGACTATATAATGTGATATATACAGATGCTTTAAAAGTAAACAATGAAGTAGGATGCGCTATTGTGAATTCTCAAATTCAAAAGCTCTTTAAACTTCCAGAGAATGCTCTGTGTTCAGTGAAGAGATGGTTGCAATAAGAGGAGCCTTAGCATTCATTGAGACAACTGATAGTAACAATTAAGCCGTGGTGGACTCATTGAGTGCATTTTGAGCCATCGGAAACAAAAAAAAACTGGCAATGATGCAGGCGACAGCTTTATGCAATATATGGTAGAAATTAATAGAAAGAGAAAGGAAAACATGTTCTGCTGGAGGACACTAAGGCAGCCAATATGGTGAGAATGCAAGAAAGAAATCTGTTTATAATTAAAAAAATCCCTGTAAAAGATTTTTCGCAAAATATAAAGATGGAAGTGGGGAAAAGATGGCAACAAAAACTAACTAAATTAAAAGATATTAAAAAAAATCAGTGTTCCAAATTGAAAACTTCTAACCGTCTCTCTAAGAAAGAAGAGACAGTCCTCTCCCGACTTAGGATTGGACATTGTGAATTTTCACATGCCTATCTACTATGGTGACCGACATGTGGAAGATATAAGGTTCAAAGAACAGTCCAACACATCATCCAAAACACCTTTGCATTTAAAAATATAAGATAAAAATTTGATGTGGCTAAAAAAAACCTTTGGAAATTTTAAAGATTATAAAACTCTATAAAAGAGTGTATAACCAATGACCTTAAAGGATAGATGCAACAAAAAATAACACAATAAATAAACTAAAAAATATGTTGTGAAATAATATTTACACTTATCTGATTTTGTTTATATCTTTTAAGTAACCATTCTTTACTATAAATTTATGGTGCTATAATGGTTAAGCACTTGCGGAAAAATGTTCACGCTGTGACATTGCATCCATTTATCCTTGAAACAATCAGCTGGTCTCCCAGTCTTTATTTATTGTTGGCAATTGAGTAATGATTGCAAATTGTAACAAATATAAAAGTTATAACAAACATTTTTTATTTCGCAACTAGCTAAAAGAAGTATTTAAATATTCTTAACTATTTCCTTTTTACTGTTTAATTTAGTAAACTTAATATAATTTGTAATATACTTCGAATATCTAAATAGTTAAGGTATAAAATTTTGGCAACTTTTCAGATAGCTTTTAAAAAAAAAAAAACTATTAAATATAAATAAGAATAAGAACTAGGACTCCTTATCACGCACGTGATGAAGCCACAAGAAATATTTTCTGACGAGAAAAATAAACCTCTTAATATTAGGCTTTATTGTGTATTTAAGACTATTTTTAATTCATTAAAATCTAGAATGTAAGAAATATTTTCTTGGAAATTATAAATTCATTTATCTCACTAATCCCAATATCCATTCCACAAATAATTCCAATTGGCTAATGAAACCAATTAATCATGGAACAAAAAAAATTCAAGATGATTTATTTAGTTTAACTAGTTAAAATAATTATAATAAATTATGTACATGGGGGTTACGAGTAAAATCCATTTGCTTATGGATTTTTCATACTTTTAGAAAGTAGTAAATAAGGTAATTTGTTTAATAAATGGATAAACAATGATGTTTTCATAAAACTATACTTTGTGTTAGCAACTGGTTTAGTTTTGTTTTCTCTTTTTCACCGAATCATTTACCGACCACGTGTAAATTGTTTTTTATTTGTTACTTTGATGTAGATAGCTTGGGGCTAGTTTTTTAAAAGGTTTGCGGAAGCTAAAAGCTTTAGCGCTTCAAACACTGGATTGATTTTAAAAACATCATATTGTTATTCATCACACTTTTTGAATTTCATTTATTTGATGAAAACCAGGAGTCATTTCAATCGATAATGTTCTTTTTACATTCAGAAATCTCAACTAGGTATACACTGAAATTATTTTATTCTTTGTTATGGTCACGTTTTTATTGTTATTTTTCAAAACTATCTTTTTTGCTAATTTGTGTCACAATATTTTCATATTTTATTTGAATGTTATTTACCTTTTCATCATTTCACTGACAGGCAATATTTTTTTATAATAAGATTTCCCCAGATGCATTGTCTACCTTTTGATCCTTAATTTTTTGAACCAGATCATATTACTAGTTATTATTAAATATTTTATTTGCTCTAAAATATTGATGGTTTGGTAATTTTATGAAGTTTTAGAGCTATAATTCGTAAAGTATTTCTTGTTTTAACGATATTTAGCATATGAAAAAGATATTTAAAAAAAAAATTGATCCTGTATAAAATATAAAAATTATTTAATCTTACATTTAACTTATCATTTTCATACGAGTAGATGCGGTCCATAATCATAATGATCTTTGATAAAAATTAAAAAAAAAATCACTAATTTTTTTAATTATATTCTGTTAATCATTTTTAAAGACGTTATATTTTATGTAATAAATAAAAAGATTTGGATATTACTTTTAAAATATAAAATATCAATATTAGACGATCATATACATATATATATATATATATATATATATATATATATATATATATATATATATATATATATATATATATATATATATATATATATTTTTTTTTTTTTTTTTCTTTTTTCTTTTTTACTTATAAATACCTTTATATACATAATGTAGATATATGATCGGTTTCGATATAGCAATTTTCATGATATGATATTCTTTTCTTTTTTTTTTTCTTTTACTTTCATTGTGATTAATTTTATTATGATTATTAGTCTAAAATGGAATATGAATAACCAGTATTTTCATATGTAGAAAAAAAATTATAGGAAAACAAATGGCAAACAATTACGTGATTTATTAAAATGTATAATAAAATTCAAGCATTTAATTAAAATTGAATCAGTTGAATTTCTCTTTGATTTTTTATTATCATTCGTTCACAGAGTTTGACAATCATTTTTTATATACTATCCTATTATTAATATCTATTTTTCACTTTGATAAAACTTCAATATATACCAGTATCCATTATCAGAATCAATGAATGATTTCCAGGTTATTAAATTTTTATCCTTAAGCTTTGAAAAAATGAATACATAAAACATTAAACAGAATTATAACTTTCTGATGTTTTAGCAAAGTACGAATTTTCGTTTAAATATATTAGACTTTATTACTTCATTACTCATTCATTTATGTACAATACTTCCAAAGTTACGGCCAGATCTTAAGGATTATTATAAATTTTAGGAATTAATATACTACTGTATTTATATAATCATTTGTTGGTTTTATTCAGATTTGAGTCTAGTACACAAGGCATATATGATTGGTTCAGTTATAAAGTCTGATATATTTAAATATAAACAATTTCTAAAAATAACAATTATATGCACTCTGTTTTTTTTTTTTATTTGAAGCAAAGATAAAGCAAATAATATAAGCTGCTAAAGCTATCAGCCTGATTAAGCAATCACATGAAGAAAACCGCTATCACCAAAAGCGAAACAAAGAGCTTTTGCATAAGAGAAATAAATCATTATTTACCTGGACTGTGCTGACAATGATTTTCTCTTTCCTCGTCATCCCGCCAAACTAGAATTAAATTATATATTAAACTTTGTCGAGAAGAACCAACAAAAACACATACATATACTATAATCTAGTGAGGCTGCGATGGATTCGTTATCAGCTCGACAACTGGCTCCTGGCGACTGAACAGCTGTTGAATAGCTAACAAGGGTCAACCTTGGAATAAGCTGTTTTATTTCTTTTCCGCAGTGTGTTATGTTTATGGTGTGTAGGCTTCTGGGGTTTATTTGTTCGTCTCAGATGGCGTCAATGAAGGATAACGGACCTTCGGGTAACGTCAGCGGTTAGGTAATAATTATCAGGCATATCGAGAAAAATAATGATCTGTTAAATAATCGGTACCATTCAGATAAGCATCGAATATCGTTAATTAATTATTTTTTTCTGGACTCAGCTATTAGAGATTAAGTTAATCAAATCGAAGTTGACTTACGTAAACGGGACAGTTTAGTGATGTAGAGATTATTCTGCGAATCATAAACCTTACAATGGATTAGTTAAATTCTAATTAACATCACTGATTAGACATGTTATACAACTACTTGCATTGTAAACTGTGTATAACAGAAGGTGATAATTATTTTATAACTGTTTGCACAGTGTTGAAGGAATTTAGAATCAGCTTTGTTTTTGTTTAGGATATTTTTTCTCTTGGTATTTTCCTCTTTAAGAAGAGATCATCAAGGTATTTTTGAATGTTATTATTACAAATAAGGTTAGTAGTATCTATGAAATAAAATGAAATGAAAAAAAATAATTTTATTCTGGGACTACAGCCCCCTTAGAATAATAACGGTGTTACAAATTTATGGGTATTAGTCTGGCCTAAAATAATAAAAAATACAAGCTAATATACTGTTTATTGTTATTGTAGTTGTAAAATAGTTGAAATAACACAGTACAGAGATACAAGTAATTTTACGTATTAGCGGAAGTTTGAATGTGGAGTAGGTGGTGGAACAGGAGTGGTTTGAAAGAATTTGTGGACGAGGATTGACTTATGGAGATAGGAAGAGAGTTCCAAAAGGAGGCAGCACAAATGACGAAGGATTAGCTGAAGGAACTAGTTTTATGGGAGGGGATATATAAATCTATAGTTTGAGACCTAGTATTACGAGAGTGGATAGAGGAGCGTTGAGTTAGGAGTTCCAGGATGTAGGGATGGTTTTTGGTTCTGAGAACTTGGAAAAGGAAAACACCAAGGAGGAATCGTCGTCGGGCAGTAGAATAAAGCTACTTCAACTAGGTGTACCAGTTGATACTTGCGAACGCCTGGGGATCCCAAAGATGTACGAAACAGTTCATGAGTTTTTTCAGTCTCATTCCTATCCTGTCAGATATCTCTCCATACAACAAACAGCCGTAGTCGAAATGGGAGAATATAAGGGAGAGTGCAAGAAGCTGTCTGGTTTTTATAGGAATACAATCACGGAATCTTATCTTTCTGTCTCATGTGTAAAAATATACATCTACGTACATAGTTCACTACCCCAGAATCCGACAAAAAGAATAAAACGTCCCTAGAGCATGGATCTGCTGCATTAGAACTTTAAGTTAATGCTTTTACTGAGAGATTTTTACAATCAAGAATTCACATTAATCCCGGAAATGTTCACAAACGAAGATCGCATTTAAAAATATTAATCCATATCTTTCCAGAAAATCAAAACTTTCCATTGAAAACAAGTTACTGATCTACAAGACAATACTGAAACCTATCTGGACTTACGGACTTGAACTGTGGGGAACAGCAAAATTTACTAACATCAAACGCATCCAATCCTTCCAATCCAAAGTCCTTCGAACAATAGTCAATGCTCCTTTCTATGTAACCAACAAAACCCTACACCATGACCTTAATATCGCATTTGTCCTAGACCTTATCCCAGCAAAATTCTCCAAATTCCACCAGAACCTTACCCATCATCCAAATCCCTTTGCACAATTTCTATCCAGCACCACCCATCCATATAATCCTCCAAGGAGGTTAATACGGCAGTGGCCCCGCGATCTTTTATAGTTTGTAAATATTGGAGTTCTGGTAATGGCCAGATTCTCCATTCACGACATGAGTGTATGTGGCTAAAGCACTCTTGCTCAATCTGCACTGGGTTTAGCCCAAGTGACGCGGTTGAGAGAGGAGTGCAGGGAGTCATGACTCCTGGAGTCATACTTTTCCCTCCACAGTTGGAGGGACAAGACTGGTTTGGAGTTCTCTTACCAAATTGTAGATATTGTATATAGGTGTGTATGTGTTCTTTTTATTTATTTATTTTTAGGTTATTTTATTCTTATTTATTGTACATAGAGTGTGAATGTGATCTGTGAACTCTATTATAAATGTCCTAGAGACAGATTGTAATATTTTTCAATAAATAAGTTTAAAAAAAAATCCATATCTTTAATAAAACTCGTTACCATTTGGTTTTCAACACTACTTTTCCCCTTTTCGCCTCACTAACACGGCGTCGCATTAAGATATATATTTGAATAATAGCCCATTACAGAGTGGATGAAATGCTGAACAATTCCCTCGCTTACAGTATGCAGGTCCGATTGTTAGTTTTTGAGATATTTTAATCCATATGCAAAAAAAAAAAAAATATCAATTAGTCGACTCCAACAGACTTCACCCTAGCGTTAAACATTGGAGATCAGACGGCTCGATCCAATTTGCTCTCCACAATAATGTTCAAAACGCGACTAAAGAAGTTTTAATTTTTAAAAAATATATAAAAGGCAACTTATGTTTTTCTTGATCGGTCTATTTTGGAAGGTATTCAATCTAAAATAACAAGTTTTCAAACTATCCATGAACAACATATGTTTTTTTTTTAACCACTGATTTTAAAGAACACTATGCTATTTTGTTGTCCCTGGTCTTTCACATACGTATTGTACAAATAACTTTATTTATTTTCTTTTTTTGTTTGGACACAGGTTTCTTATTTTTACGATTCAGATTAAAACATTATGATATTGAAACATTAACATATTCCTTACAATAAAACATAATTCAGTTGAAAAAGGTATGATGAAATAAGAATGGACCTCGCATATTAAATAAATTAAGTGGAAAAAAAGTTCACATAATGTCATTTTATTACCAAAACATTTACACACTGACGTTCAGAGATCTCTTCCGTTATCAGGGTTCCATTGTTTAATGGAATTAACCACATAAAATTTTAGTCATAGTAATATATAAAATGCAATTTATATACAAAAAATGTCATATTCTAAAACAATTGTATTGTTTTGATATTTAAGAATGAAGCTATATTTTAGATAGGAAACAGATATAGATAAAATCTCTTAATCAGGATGTGATTTGATGAGGAAAAAAAATTAAATCTATACAAAATATTTTATTATTTATACAGAATTTGATATTTTTATAGATTATTAAAGACCTTTTATTTTATTTTATTGTTTTTCAAAGCTATGAAGTAAATTAGATAAGCCATTGTATAGGTGGATATGAATTCTCTTGGAGGAATAGAAATAATAAGTAGTTTGCGGTAAAAAATATATAATAAAACTTAATTTTAATTAAATTTTAAAATGTTTAATAAATTTGATATAATAATTATTATTTCGAACAATTACGACCGAATTAGATCTAAAATTACAAATACGGTTAAAATAAACTAAAATATGGGAGTATTATAAAATATGGAGAATTTTTTTTTTTAATATAATGTAGAACTCTTATCACAAACCGTCTTACCGTTCATATACCAGTCAATACCACACTCATTAGATGTCCTCGAGACAGCTGATGACTCCGATCGACCGACAATCCCTTTGGGATTCTGCCAAAATGAGATCGTAAAACTCAAAAACCGAAGGTCAGGCCCTGTTGTTGGTGTTCGTAAACACAACTGTTCTGCGTTACAAATAAACCTTGCCTAGCTATTTCGTCACATTTCTTTGATTCCACAATGCTTCTGATGATGTAAATATTACGTCTTGTAAATAGGTTTCAGCTGAGTGTAACGTCCAAGGTTACATAGTTGTGTTTGATTACAATTTGACGGTTCCTCTGTTTTCGATATGCTAATTGCAGGAGATAGAAATATAAAAAATAATTAATCATAGTTATAGAGAAGTTCGGTATATTTAATTATTTTACTTAAGAGGCATTGTTGCCAAAAAAATAAAAATAAAAAACATTGTATAATAATTTAGAAGCTAATGATGAAATATAATAATATAAAAATCCAAAATAATTACTAACAATATGTGAAAACAAGAAAAGAAATCGAGATTAGATCGGAGAAAATCAGGTCGGTGAAACAATTTAAAAAAGTTGAGGAAGTCGTGAACTACAATAGGAGAGACAAACAAGCGGCACTAAGTATGAAAATAAAATTGGATGGATTGATATTCTTAGGCAGGGGTCTGTATAACAAAAAAAAATATTCCAGGAAAGCCAAACTTAGACATTACGAAACAAATATAAACCCAGTGATACTCTTTGGGGTGGAGACTATGGATTCGTTACTGAGAATACAAATATACTGAGAGTAATATACGGGCCGAGAATTGTTGGGAAAATAATACTGATTAAAAAAGAGGAGTGAGGAGCTTTATGAACATATTAAAAACTTAAAAAACATCTATGAGAAAAAGGAGATTCTTCTTTTTAATTAAAAAAAAAAAACGGTCAAAATAGGTTGAACAAGATAATATTCAATAAAGTGATGAGACTGAAAAACATAAAGGGATATCAGGGACAAATAAAACAAGAAGTAAAAAATATGGGTATCAAGCAGAGAAAAATTCGGGAAAATAATGAAAAAAATAAAGGTTTTTGTAGTAAGGAAGAAGTAAGAAGTCAAGAAATTAACAGAAGAACGAAGAAAAATAAAGGAAAAAAACAAAAAGAAACAGTTTTAATATGTGCCTGGGTCCTTTAGTTGGCGTGCGAAGCGATAAATAAGTAATGATATAAACTGAAATTCAATATGACAAAATTATTCACGAAGCGGCTTAAATTA